TCTCTCTGAATGTCAATCCCAAGAATTATGGATGCAACTCCTAAATCCTTCATGTCGAACACCTTATCAAGTTCATCCTTTACCTTCGTAACATATTTGACATTGTTCCTTTCTATGAGGATATCATCCACATAAAGCAACAAAATAACAAGTGAATTTCCAGGTTGAAATCTGAAGTAAACATACTTGTCGAACTGGCTTCTAGTGAAACCTATTCCATTGTCGAGGAAATATTTTTAGGCCATATAACGACCTACTCAGCTTGCATACATAATCTTCATTTCCCTTTTCTACATACCCTTCAGGTGCCTCATCAGGATCGTTTCATCTAGATCACCATATAAGAAGGTTGTCTTCACACCCATCTGTTCAAGTTCTAGGTCAAAATTTCCCACCACGACTAACCATATTCTAATGGATATATGTTTTACAATATGTGAGAACATATCATTGAAGTCGACACCTTCTTTCTAAGTGAACCCCCTAGAAACCAACCTTGCCTTAAATTGATTCGACATCACTCCTTCGATTCCTTCCTTAACCCTGAAAATCCACTTACAGTTGACTAACTGAGATCCAATAGATTTCTCGATTAGCTCCCAAGTATTATTATCATGAAGAGATTTTATCTCATCATCCATGGATTTAAGACATTCGATCTTGTCTCGACTCCTCATAACTTTCTTATAATCTCAAGGTTTTTCATTAAAGACCTCACTTGCAAAAATTAAGGCATAAACTATGAGATTTGTATAATCAAGTCTCTGAGGTGGCTTGATGACTCTTCTTGGCCTATCTCTTGTCAACATGGATTCATTATCAACCTCATCATCCTCATTAGAAACTTGTATTTGTTCTTCAACTTCATCTGGGTTATGCAATTCAACATCACTATGCTCCACCTCAACAATAATCTTTTCATGTTCCAGATCCTCTTTAGAGATCTTCGTACTTCGACTAACATCATCAATTTTCTTGAAAGCCATCTCACCTTCATTGAAAACTACATCGCAAATTGTGATACACCTCTTGTAACCTGACTCTAGGCACCACAACCTATACCCTTTGACTTTTTTAGGGTATTCAAGGAACATACATCTCAGAGCTCTAGGTCCGATCTTGTCTTTCGAGACTATTTGAATGTCCCGACCAGGCTTCTTCAGGTGTCTTCATTCCCAAGGCAGTCGAGGGACACCTATTTATCAGGTATGCTGCAGTCAGAACAACTTTTGCCCAAAACACCTTATTTAATCCTGCATTAACCAACATGCACCTCACTCTTTCCAAAATGTTTCAATTAAACATTTCAGCCAAACCATTTTGTTAGGGAGTACCTGCACTATTTCTATGCCTTGCAATAGCAAACGCAACACAATAGCTGTCGAAAGCGACATTGTAAAATTCAAAACCATTGTCGGTCCTCAACCTCTTGACTTTCTTGCCAGTTTGGTTTTCGACCAGAGTCTTCCAACTTTTGAAATTTTCAAAAGTTTCATCCTTAGTATTTTGGATGAATACCCATAACTGTATGGAATAATTATCAACTATGGATAGGAAATACTTTGCACATGAGTGTGAAGGATTCCTTGCAGGCCTTCAAAGATCTATGTGAATGTAATAAAGGGATCTATATGTTCTTTGTTTATCTTTGTTAAACATCACCCTAATGGATTTACCAAATACACAAGGTTCACAAAACTCCAATTTTTTACCTTGTCACCACACAACATATTTTGTTTTGACAATTTGACCAATCCTCTTTCACTGACTTGGTCAAGTCTCTTATGTCATAGCTCAGTCTTCGACACAGATTTTGTGGATGCCACATCTGTTGAACCGCTTGTAACCTCAACGTCAATGGTATACAAGCCTTGTTTCTTCGTACCTCTCAAGACTTCCTTTGATCCCTTCATTACCCTTAGGATATTTTTCTGTCTTTTGAAAATATATCCTTTCTTGTCGAAGTCACCAAGAGAAATTAAATTCCTCTTAAGATCACGTACATATCTGACGTTAGTCAATAGCCTTATTGACTCATCGTGAAGCTTGAATCTATTAGATCCAATTCCCAATAACATTGATCCACCATGTTGATCACATAATTCCTCAAAAACGTCTTTGTTTGGATTCATGTGTCAAGTATAACCTGAATCCATAATTCACTCATTGCTAGAGTCGCTGCTTGAAACCACCAGGACATCAGATGATTCATAACAATCTTGCACAATAGATGCATTACCATTATCCTTTCCACCATGATTATTCAGTCGATCTGGACATATATTTCTTGTATGACCCACTTTCTTACAATGATAACACCTAATTGCAGGAGTATTACCACCATAATAATTTTGTAGTATTTTTCTCAAATCTACCATCTTTCTTCAAGAATTTTCCTTTGACAGATAATTCTTCACCAACAGAAGATGGCTTGTGATCTTTTCTTTCATTCAGGTCCTTAGAGTACAAGGTTGATTGAACTTCTTCAAAGGTCAACAAATCTCTTCCAAACAATAGATTAGATTTGAAATGGACATGAGACTTAGGTAAAGCACACAAACACCTATGTTTGAAATGAGCATGGACATATGTTATTTCTTTTTCTTCTTGTGCTCTTGATCCAAGCATTCATACATTCAAAATAAATAAATAAAATTTCACGCAGGAGACAAGTAGGATTCAGGCGGCTCAAACAATTTTTTCTTTCCTTGGTTCTGTGACGATGAAAGGAAAGGAAGAAAATTTGTAGAGTTATGAATGGAGTTTTAGGTAAGATGAAAAATAGATGAAAGGTGTCTAAAAATATAGACCTTATGCATCTTGAAGAAAATGGTAACATAACTACGTCATTAGGGTTTAGTTTCACTAATGGTGCTTCGTTTTCATCGGTAATTGTTAAAACAAAGAAATCCACAACACCCTATTTTTCCTCCGATGGCGATGGCGATGACGACGATGATGAATCATTAATGCACACGATTTTGATGTTGAATTTTGAGAACTCGTTGATTTTGTTGATGTATGTGAATTGAGTTACGAGGAGTTTGGTTTTTGTTGTTGTGGCTTGTTTAGCTGGCTCCGATGAGATGGATTTGCGGTGGAGATAATGACATTGCAGTATGAGGCGCCGAGGAAAGTGAGGAAACTGCTAGGGATAATAGAGAAGAAAAGAGAGAAAATGGGAAAGAGAAAGGAAAGGTTGTGTCTGCGCGAGACACACACATAGAGAGAGAGAGAGAGAGAGAGAGAGAGAGAGAGAGAGAGAGAGAGAGAGAGAGAGAGAGAGAGAGAGAGAGAGAGAGAGAGAGAGAGAGAGAGAGAGAGAGAGAGAGAGAGATGAAAAATGTGGGATGAGGAAAATATGTTTTGAAGTTATCCACGTGGCATAATGAAATAGGATGAGAATGGAAAATGTAAACATTACTTGATTACTTAAATGTCATTTTCTTAGTATAAATAATTTATAGTGAAAGAGAAAATTAGAAAGTTAATACAATTAATTTATAATGGGTTGATAATTGATGAGAACTAATAGAAGACATGTGCGTCCGCATGAAAATTCATTCAGAATTTAAATAATTTGATACAAATGTCATTACAAATAATGAAATTTTTAGACAATTTTGGAAATTGGTAGAAGCATGTGACTTCATATCTAATATTTTGTAATAAGCAGAGTCGTCTCAAATTTTTAAAGACCGTGTGTAAGAAATTGGAATAAGCTTGTGAATTTTTTTAATGGGTCTTTTTATTCGTAAATTAACCATGAAGTATATGTAAAGATGTCATTTTTGCCATAGAATAATCTTAAAAAACTGTGAGGCCCTGTATTGTAGGTCGCCTTACGCACCCTAAAAGATAACCCTGATAATAATACATGGTTAATAGAGTTGATTTGTCCTATAATAATAGAAAAGTCTGTAACATTGAAGCAAGTAATTAAAATCTGTCGCAAATATGCCATACTGAAAGCATGGATAGTTCACTGTTTTATATGTAGATACAACCATAACTTTGTCAAATATGAAAAATTAATTCAAAAGGTTGTTATAGCTTTCGTTCAAAAGTATGGGCACTTAAAATTTGATTAGTACTGCAAGCATAAATCAGCAACGTGAGTTTTATCATCAATCACAATTAGACAATCATTATTGTAAGTTGTAACAAACTTTAAATAAAAGTTGCAGTTCTTTATCTCCGTTGATAGATATTTCATAACCTACAATAATAACATATGCATGAGTCAATAATGATATTTATACTAATATACTATGTAAATTTGGAATATGAAAAGAATACCTGATGAAAAGAATGTGTAGTAACTATCAACCAAAATGCAGAAAATAGTCCTAAAAAGAGCATAGATGATTCATTTGGCTTAAAATGCATAATGGAAAATGTTAAAACATGATAGATGTTTCATTAAGCAATAAAACTGTAAAAGTTTGAAATGAACATAAACTTGAAATGCTAACACAAATGCTGAAATAAACCTAACAACCAAAACTTTCAATAATGATACAAATGTGCTCACTAGTTCAAAATGTTAGTAATCTCAAACAAATTTGTTTAAAGCTTGAGATGAATGTAAGGTTATTCATTGTTTTTCATTTGAAGCTGAAAAACCCATTACATTCTCATTCAATCTTTCCATTTATAAGCATTGAAAATCAATATGAAAAAAGATTGAAAAAAAAATATAAGGTTTTCTGTTTGCATAAACATTATTAAGATTAAGCTTTTATTTGACAATCCATAAAGTTGTATTTTAAAAATATATATTATTTTAATAAAAAAAAGACTGTTGACTATATAAATAGTGTACATACGGTATGGTGTAGAAAATAGTACGAATAGTAATGAAAAGTCTTAGTACAAGAATCCCTAATTTGTTTGAGAATTAATAATTTGTGGGGCCACACCATACTTTACCAAAAGTACAAATGGATCATACTATATGATTGACAATTATCCCATTAACCCAACAAAGAGAAGAGAAAATGGAGTTAAGGGAGCTTGGAAGAACAGGGCTGAAACTAAGCTCAGTGGGCTTCGGAGCCTCACCTCTCGGCAACGTCTTCGGTTCAGTTTCCGAACAACAAGCTAATGCCTCTGTTCGTCTCGCCTTTCAGTCCGGCATCAACTTCTTCGACACTTCTCCGTAAGCAAAATTTTCTTTCCTTTTTTTTCTTTCTTTTCGTTTTCTTCTTCCATTTTAACAAACTTTCAAAATTGAAGATACTACGGATCTACACTGTCGGAAAAAGTGCTCGGTAAAGCATTGAAAGCCCTAAATGTTCCGAGAAGTGAGTACATTGTAGCAACCAAGTGTGGACGCTACCAAGATGGGTTTGATTTTAGTGCTGAGAGAGTCACGAGAAGTATAGATGAGAGCTTGGAAAGGTTGCAGCTTGATTATGTTGATATTCTTCAATGTCATGACATTGAGTTTGGATCGTTGGATCAGGTTGGCTGATTTACAATTGTATCATAATTAAATTTAGTCAAGGTTATAGCGAAAGTTGATCTATGTAGCCGATCCAACTTAGTAGGATAAGGCTTGTTTGTTGTTGTTGTTGTTGTTGTTGTTGATAAATTGTGGCATAATCAAATTTGGTAACTGTTTCAAGTAGTGCTAACTGTTTGGTTTTTTGTTCAGATTGTTAATGAGACAATTCCTGCACTTCAGAAACTGAAGGAAGCGGGGAAGACTCGTTTCATTGGGATTACCGGACTTCCGTTGGAGATATTTACTTATGTTCTCGACAGGGTTCCGCCTGGAACATTGGATGTTATACTTTCCTATTGCCATCATTCTATCAATGATTCGACTTTGGAGGATATAGTTCCCTATCTGAAGTCCAAAGGTGTTGGTATCATCAGTGCTTCCCCGTTGGCAATGGGTCTTCTCACTGAGGCTGGGCCTCCTGAATGGCATCCTGCTTCACCAGAACTTAAGGTCTTATCTTATTCTTTACCAGTCTTGAGTTTGATTGTGAACACCGAATCATGCTTTTGTGTGTGTGTGCGCGTGTGTGTGAATAAGAACTTTGCACCAATATCATCTTTTGCGAACAAAAAGATTGTAATTTGTTATTAAATTTCTTGGCACTGGTACTTTCTTATACAAAAGGATAATGTTACTTGGTGTATAAGACATCCAACAATAAAAGAAAATTAAGCATTGAAATTTGAGACAGAATTCACATATGGCAAAGAAACTCAAATTACTTTGTGTATATAATCTGTGAGTAGTTTAATAGAAGACAGGAAACCATGAAAGGAAATATAAAATTTTAATTTGAGACTGCTCGCATTGTCAGAAAAGAAGACTCAGATTAATTAGCCAGCCTACTGATTTTTAGGCAGATAAGCAAATTGCCTACTAGTACTAATGATGTTCCTGGACATTATGAATATCTCTCATGAATCTCTGTTTTCTGTTTATGGTCTGGCATATCACATATTTCTTCAAAAACTAATCTGGTTCTATGTATTTTATTTGAGATTTGCAGTCTGCTTGTAAAGCTGCCGCTACCTATTGCAAAGAAAAAGGAAAAAACATTTCAAAGTTAGCAGTGCAGTACAGCTTGTTAAATAAAGAAATCACATCAGTGCTTGTTGGCATGAGTTCTGTTGAACAGGTTCTGTTTTATCTTCATAAACTGTCATATTCTGTTTCATGTTCATTAATTGTCATATTTAATTGCATACATCTATTTTATGGAAGTTGTTATTTGGTGGATAATGCATTAAGCCTCGTTCCAAAGCTTGTGTCATTGTATGGTTTGGTCTATCAGATACGATTGTTACCTCTCTTTGATATTTTCAATAAAGCATATATGGGCACTGTCCTCAGTAAAATATGTACATAATTTTTCTTCTATCTTTTTCACACTCACTAATTATGGGTTAAAAAAATGTATGCTAGTGCAATATTTGTTGATCCGGTAATGTAGGTTAATGGACAGCATTTTATTTATATGATTAAAACAATTGCCGACTAGATTTCTAGGCTTTAATTGATTGTAATGTTGTGAAGTGTATCTGTAAGAAGCACCCTTTTTCATTGAATTATATGTTTGTGTTATCATGTTATATCACATTATCTTTTGTTATCAATGGACTTTATAATAAGTATTGTAAGAGTTGATGTTGCCGAGCTATGTTGATTGAGGTGTCATAAATATTTTGTAGTATTCCTACTCCAGAAAATCTGACAAACGTTTACAGAGGTTGGCTACCTATACTGTGTTCCAGCTTTTTCTTTCATAGTTTCAACTTTCATGAGAAAAATATTCTTTCATTTGATCAATGATTAACCACTATAATGAATAATTAATCTCAATAGTGGGGGGCTGGGAACACAAGGCTTACTCAAGAATGTTTATTATACTAGAGTTTCTCGTATCTTAAGTACAATTTCCCCAGAACTCAAGAACAATCTGTGTAATGTAGACCAGTCACTTGATAAGGATGAACTGTTCTAAATTTGATAAAATATAGGTGGAGGAAAATGTTGCTGCTGCAAAAGAACTAGCAGCTTCTGGAATCGATGAAGAGGCTCTATCAGAAGTTGGAGCCATTCTAAAGCCTGTCAAAAATCAGTCGTGGCCTAGTGGAATCCAACAGAGTTGACTCCCTTCTGCCTGATACTGCCTATCAAGACGTCACGCAGCTGTCTCATTCCAGTTACAAGTGTTCTTTATTTCTGTTCAATAAGAGGAGTTAGATCCACTATCCAAACTATTGAGTGCATGCCATTTTTTCTGTGCCTGTCTCCTCCAGTTACTTGGGAGTAAGGTCAACTAGTATAAATGGTAAATAAAGCCCATCTCATATCTATTATGTTTTGAATAAAACTATTTTTATTTTAAGAAAAAGTTGATTATATTATGATAATTGTGTTATTTAAACAAATGGGATTTGAGATATGTATGTGTCACTAGTAATATATCAATCTCTTGTTTGAACAAATGGGATTTGAGATGTGTATGTAACTCATATTTTATGATTACTCTGCAAAAACTACCAGACTATTTGATATCTCATTTTAATGTTTCAAACATCATTTCTCATTTTAATAACATTGCAATGTTATTTTGACATGTATTGTTATTTTCTATATATTAGTAATGTGGTATTTCTGACTGACAACCGGATCAAACCTCAAAGTTTTAAAATTCGAGGGCCTAAATTCTTAAAAGAAAAATGCGAACGAGTCGTGTAATAATAAGTGTCTAAAATAGTATATTTTTATGAGAATATATGTATTTAAATTATGAAAAATTGAAATATTTAATTATTTGAATGAATTTTTTTGGTGTGGCATATTTAAAGAGTGTCTTTGGTTACTCGTAGCAAAACCCTTCTTTTAAACTTTAGCAATTAGGTTCTCATAGAGCATTTTTAGTGGGAGTAAACTAAATGGATAAACTAAGATATTTTTTGTGGGCCCAAAGTGATTTGTAGGATTTAAAAAATTTATAGTTGATTTGAGTAGTTTTTATTTTAATGGTGGTTGTCTATAAGAAATCAAAACTTGATCTCACATTTTATATTTTTTATTCAAGTTATCATTAATTTAATTATTTTAATTAAAATACATATAATTTTTTAAATAAAATTTACCTTAAAAACTTAAAAATAATATTAAATATATTTTATTATAAAATTAAAAATGATACAAAATTCACAACAATAATACATAAAAAAAATTACATTTTCATAGGAATATAATTATAATAAGGATTCGATTGGTTGAGATCCATTTGATAAATAAATAAGATTGGAAATTAAAAGAAAAAAATTTAGAAGTAAAACTGTGTAAAAAAAATTAAAATTTCTATAGAATTTATAGAAAGTAAAAAATGATAATGTCACCGTTACTATTCTCAAATATCATATCTTTACTTTAATGTTGTTGGAATATTTGAAATATTTTATTAATATTAAATAATATTATAATAGGTTTCACATAGTTAACGTTAACTATATAGATAATGAGAACTAAATTTTAGTTCATTTGGATGCCATGTCAGCTCTCCTATAATGCAAATTCCTTATTACTAACGTAAGCTATAAAGAATTTTGGTTTAACAACCCTGCGTTAAAGTTGCTCTTAGGAAAGAAAAGAAAAAAAAGTAACACATATTTAATTTGGTTTTGTTATAATATTATTATTATTAAAATAATAATATTATTTAGAAATATCTATCTAAATAGCCATAGTAAATTATTGTAGATATATAATTTATCAAAGTTAAAATAGTAAGTCTAATTATTACATTAGTGCAATAATTGTATTTCTAGTAGTATAAACACTACATTTGACCAATGTAAAAATACACCAAAATTTATTTTAAAAACACAAATAAAGTATTTTTCTTTCTTCAATTTTTCATTTAAGTTTAATAGTTACAACTAATTTAATAACTTATATTAGTTCATAAATATTAACAAATATTCAAAATCGGTTTTTCACAGCAGATTTGTAGTAAATGAACTTTTAATAAATGACTATAAGTTAATTGATAGTCGATTAACATATTGATTGAATTTGTAAAACTAATTATTGAATCAACTTGTTATTTTTTAAAGTTATCCCAAAAAAAAAAGCTTATAAAAAATTATAAGGTGGTAAAAATAAAATAAACTTGTGAGAAAATTATTACCACCAAACAATTTATTTAGGCAATTTTTCTTCCCACCTTTACGGTGTTGTTCATCTTTGAAAATTCAAAAATGCAATTATAAAATTTTGGAGATGTATTTTTGAATGCACTTTAAATCTTCTTATCTTTTGTAAATCAAAAACTATCTTATTTTTGCCAAAATTTGATATGGAGATGCATTTGCGAATATTTTTGTGGTAAATTTGAAGATGCATCTCTGAAAGCACTTTTCTTCCTTTGTAAATCAAGTAGTTGTCCCATTTTTTATTTAAAAAATAGTCTGGAGATGCATCTACGAATATTTATGGGATAAATTTGAAGATGCATCTTCGAGATCTTCTCTGCATGTTTCTTGGGCAGAAACATTGTCCTAAATTTGTATTTTTTTCTAAATCCAAAGTCATTTTCAACTAACATTTCCATTATTTGATTCAAACATTAACAAACACAAATATCATAGAAGAATGTGATGCATTAATTAAAAAAACATTCAATCATATTACAAACATTGTTCTCAAAGTATGGGAAAAAAAATACTAAAACATTCCAAAGTACAAATAAAAACATAATCTATTGTGTATGCTTAATCCTAACCCATGACTCCTCTTCTACCGCTGATTACCCAAGACATTTCGTGCTTCAGTAAGAATGGAATGTGATAGGGCAACCACAACATCGTCACCTCTCTTAAACAATCCAGACTTTATGCCCTCACACATAATCCACAAAATACCCTAACATATCAGCAACATATCAATGACATGGTCATCTCTGGCATACTCATTCTCTAGGATCTCCTCATGAGAAGGCCTAGGTGGACGTCCTGGAGCGTTTGGTGTCATGAGTAGGTGTGACATAATATAGAACCAAGTCATGTAATTGTCCACATGATGTCATTGACATACTCCAATACTTCTCTGATACCAAATAACTCTCAAAATCCACCAATATGTCATCAAACTGTCTGCGGACGATGCTGTTAGAAGCAGCCACAAAGGAGGATCTCGAAATAATCTGCACATATCCAAACAGACGCATGCATCACTCTGGAAAATACTTATACATCATATTCGTCTCATATACCAACAATCCAGAGTAAAATGAAATGGGGTCGAAGGGAATAATGTCCCAGTGAGTGTTGTATGGTGTTCAGTCGATGTCATCATGTTGAGTCTGGTCAATATACACACGGAACATCCGCACAACATCTTTCCCTCTACGCGAGCAATATAGGCAAGCACGTGGTCAATCCTCAGTATAGTCTAGCAGACAATCAAACCCGTGTATACAGTGAAAGTGGGATAGGATTCATCCCTGAAAATGAATAAGAAAAAAGTATTAGTAACAACTGTAAAAAAAAAAGTGATTTTTATTATTGATAGTGGCTATAGAAATTACCGTCAAGGGTGCAAGATCCTGTCATTTGCTTTGTCGTTCAAATATAGCCTTCACTCAGCTTGGAGTACAGGTATACCAAATAGGAGGACCCCCAGTTCCACCCGTGAATAGCAGATAAGTTGATGAAATACTTAAGGTATACCACATCGATATAGGTTGCACTTTTGTCCACAAAAATGGACGTGCTAACCAAGAATAAGAGGAAACACCTTAAAGCTCACTCATAGAGGTAGATAACCTATAGATCATCACCGTAGGCATTCTCGGGTAACTACATGTTGTTTTGATATAACGTCTCCAAGTAAGAAAATTTGGCATGTACACCTTTGGCGCTCTCACGCTACATCAAAGAATCCATTGGGTCAACTCTCAAATAAATGACCATCATCTCCTGGGCTTCATCGCATTTGATCCTGGAATGATCAAGTAACTTCCTCGTGATGGGAAGGTGTAGAAGGAAAGCAACGTCGTTTAGTGTAATTGTCATCTCTCTAATGGGGAAGTGGAAAGAACATGTTTCCTTATGCCATCTCTCAGCAAAATTCCCCTGCATGCCATGGCTAATGGTTTTGTACCTAGAAGAACACAAGACTGCAAGACCGGAGTACTGGAGGACACTCTGGAACCAATGATCCTTAGGCTAATAAAGCTTCAGAATCTTTCTGTTGTGGTTAACAAACTTTAAACAATCGTGCTCCTGTTAAAAAAATAAAATATCATTCGCAGGGCAAGTGTTTAAAACATATAAATAATAATCGTTAACAAAAATACCTCTCCAGTCCAGACATGCCCAGCAACATGATCTCTATAGTATATCAGTAAGGAGGTATCAGAGGGCCCTATTGGAAAAGGGATGTGTGATGGGTTTCACTGAAGAGTCTTAGTTTGTCATTGTTTTTTGCAGTCATTTTTCCTGAAAGAATACGTGAGTAAGACATTAGTTTGTATCCAAGACAATTTCGGATATGCATCTCCAAAAACTAGTAAACCACCAACCCGGATATGCATCTCTGAAAAAACTTGTGTTTGCATCAACGGTAGAAACTAATACCAGTCTTGCCTTAACAGCCAAAAATGAAATAAAATTATGGTGCACGTCTCTAACACCTATCTATTATGAATTTGACTATTACCTAATTCATTTATTGCAAACTATTTTACCTAATACATTAATATAAAATCAAAATAAGTTAAATGAGAAACTTACTCCAAAAAAAATGTTGAGGATGAATAAGTGGATTTAGTTAGAATTAAACAAGCAAGTAGTTTCGGGTGATTATTGCAAAAGTTTCAAATACCGAAAAATACCGTCAAGAAACGAATGGGTCGTCATGAAGGAGAAGCATACACATTGAGTCAAGCACTCGCCTAATGATCAATACTCACTCAAACAAATGAGAGAGATACCACATATTCACATAAAATCTTAATGTGATAGGTGCATGCATTCTCATGCTTACAATTCTACTCCATTTGTGTCACATCATCCCATAATCCTATGTGACATATTTCAAAACTCACTTTCACTATTCAAAAATTCAAATACAATATTTCTACTCTATTGGA